TGACTATGTAAAGTCAAGCGATAATGTGTCGGATCCACTTACAAAAGGCCTAACTAGAGAGGTGGTTGAGAAATCATCGAGGGGAATGTGACTATGGCCGAGAACAAGCCATTGTGGCGGTAACTCTACCTAGAAGACTGGAGATCCCAAGATCTAGGTTTAAGGAGATCAAACAAAGTCATTAATGACGGTTCAACATTGTCAACTAAAAGTTTGGTCCATTCTCGTGATGGGACAATGTTCAGTACCAAGGATAAAATATTAAGGCTTTTTAATAATTTTTAAATTTGATACGAGGTATATTAAATAGTATATCTACGGTATGACACGTTTAGGAATCACCTTTGTAAGTGTGAAGTGTTAGCCGCTTCAAGGAGAATTTTGTAAGGCCAATTCTCTACGCACTTATGAAACTAGGCGGTGTTCATGGCTGAAACGAACATAACAATGAGAGCCGAAGACAGTTAAGGGTTGGTTGTGTGACTTATGGTTATCTAGGTATACACCAAAGTTCGACGGTTCAAAGATATCAAATCTACCGTTGACCGAGTATATCCGACATAAGTTCACTACGAAAAGTTCAAAGGAAAACCTACTTATCCAGATGCAATTAATCCTTGCTTGCGAATCACACAATCTTTCATGCATATTTTCGTGATATAGACATTCCCCATTCATGTGGGGTATTGTTGGGTTTTTAAGCTTAAATGTAGCTTAAAAAAGGGTGAACGGAAAATTGAAAATATTTGAGTTCCCCTCCTTGACAAAGGGACATTGTCCCATATTAGAAGAGGAAAAGGTTTTTATTGGTATATATACAATTGTACTTCTTCTAGCTCTTAAAGAATTAAGAAGAAGGCAATCCTCGCGCCGTCGTCGCTCGGTCGCTCGCTCGGCTACGGCTTCGGCTTCGAATTTGGATTTGGTGATCGATTGATTGAATAATTTTTTGGACCAAATTTATTTGTTAATAGTAAATATTAACAAAATGTTATTAAATATCCATTTTTTTAAACGAAAAATTAATATTAAATCCAACGGAATAGTATATGCTCTTTGTTTTTTGTAAAAGCCATTTAACTTATGGCCGTTTTTACACTAACAACCCTTCTGAAGAGTTGCACCTCTTCAGTTTGAGCTCAACATTGGCTATAAATACCAGTCCTTTCTCTCAGATTTTCCATACGAATTTTTGACTTCTCCTCCTTTCTTCTGCATTATTTTAACTACAAAGAAAGCAACAGTAAGTGTGATTTGCTACCGATCTTTGTGTTCGCTGAAACACTGGGGTTTGAAGTATCGCTACACCAGTGTGTAATTCATTCTATCATGGGAGAAAATAATCCATAACCTTGGGTACTAGGAGGGGATTAAATTCCTTAAGGAAACATTGTGAATTTAGTGGGCTCGGATTAAATTATGTTTCTTTTACATTTCTATTTTTATTTTATTTTATTTTCTTCAGAATTATTTTACAAATACAGTTTACTAACACACTATGCAAACCACTTAAAATTGTAGATGAAATCGTCGAAATAACACCATAGGCAATTTGATGAGGTTGATGAGTCGATTTCAGAATTATTCAACCCTCCTAATGGGCTTCCAATGAGACAGAACGTGAGCATAGTGCTGGACTTTGGTCCATCTAGCTTTATGGCCCAGTCCAAATGGGATTACGATACATGTATGAACTATGAAGTGATTGAGTGATGAATTTAGCAGGCAGGGGGAAGTACACAAATAGCCATTTTTAAGGCTTCTATTTAGGGATTAACAATACTTATTTGTCCTAAAAATTTAAATTAAAGATCTTAACTTCAGGACTCTGTGTCCTGAAAAATTAAATTTGATAATTAAAATTCAGGACATATTGACTAATATTTAAATAATAACCCTCTAAAATGGCTATCTGATGTCATTTCTACCCTAGCTTAGAGGTCCTTTTCTGCTTTGCCTTTTTCTGTCATATTTCCCCCCTCCCCCTCCCCACCCCCAAAAAGTGTAACGTTTCTCTCTCCACTGTTGAATAAAGGATGGTTTGTTTGTTTTAAAAAAAATTCCGTTTGACCTAACGCTTATGTGGCTACTGAATATTTTTGCTTTGTTGCTTGGGCTTAAAGTTGTAATCTAAGCTAGCGTTTGATCATAGATTTCTAAATTTGTTTTGAAAAATCTGATTTGGGTGAAGTTTGGTTTGGAGATGAAAATATGTTTGGACATAATTTTTCAAAACATATTTCACTTTTTATTTGAAAAAATATGAAACATGACTTATACCCCAACAAGTTCTAAAAACTATCACAAATACCCAATAGTACCATTATCACAAACCATAGTCCTGAACATAAATAAGTTTGGTACAAAATTATCATTTTTATAATGAACTATATAAATTATTAGTTACAGTGAAATCCCATTAGAGAATTACGGCTTCTAATTAAAAAGAAAAAGTTAACTGATATGAGTGTTCAGAAAGCCATTTAGCCTACAAATCAGAAGCAAAAGTAAGATGCACAAAGGATTGAGCTGATAAGGGAGCATATTCATCAAATATTTAGTTAGTCGTAATAAAAATTTTAAAAAATATAACGGTCATGTTTTGGCCCAAAATCAGCAATTGAGGTGATTTTGGAATTTTGGAATTGGGATTTTGTCAAAATGTGAGCAAAATTTATGACCAAACATGTGTTTGCTAAATAAATTTCAAATTTGGCAAAACTCATGGCCAAACGGGTCCTAAGTTTCGAATCCATATATTGTATAAGCATAATCAATGTGTATCCAAAATCAGTTCGTAATTTCATATTCAAAGGAAAAGCAACTGTATTTCCTGATTGGCTCAAAAAAATTAGATTGTACATTTATATCAGATATATACAAAAACTGGAGATTATAACTCGTGAACATCGGTTTCTTGTAACCCAAGTCATAACCACCCTGATATGCCCTTTGATTAGTAACAATCTTATATTTGCATAATTGAGTACTCACAACCTTAAAATTTTGACTCCGTTACTATTACCGTTCATAAATCAACCAGTCATGCAATGACATATGCAATTCGCCAGAAATGCTTATCCCAATTCTTGATCTGTCAGTTTTCTAGGTAAAAGACTAAACATTTTTCCATCTCAATCCAAATCCATTCTCCAAAATCTAATCCATGCAACAATCAATTACGTATTCTTTAGTCTTTACCCCCTTTGTCTCTCTCTCCCATCACCTTTTCGACTTCTTGAAGAGGCATACCCCAAATAAGGCAATAACCCCTAACTCTCTAACTAAGCATTTGATAAGCCTCCCGATGACTGTTGTAATCGATTGTTGGATCTAAAATTTAAATTTAATGGGTTTAAATTTGCACTGAACTCGTTAAATTATGGATTCATATCTAATAATTCATTTGTTAAGATTTTAATAAGTTTATATTCCGTTACGAAAGTTATAGGTTCAGATAAATCAGGTACTCGATTCCACCTCTAGTTGTATCACGTGCTATTCTCGTGCTAAACCATTCTTCACGAAACTTTAAACGCGTTCAATCAAAGTAGCATCTACGTGAATAATCTTGTAGGATATGCTCTTCATCCTCCTTTTCCATGACTCATTCCCCTTTTTTTAAACACAGTATATAAAACCGATACTACAAGCATTATTCACTCTTCCTTTTTTCTGTTTCTAATTCGAGTACTTTCATTAGAATATTCGCATTTCAATAATTCAATTTCCCCTTTTAATCCCCAAGCATCTAACATCTTTTTTCAAAATAACTTCATTAGCTAATTATGTTCTGCTAAATATTGAAGGAACAAAAATGTACTCTGGTTTTAGCAGAAGGAAGCGAGTTACTGACCCGTTAGACGAAAAGGTGAAGGCTCAGATCATTGGCCGTGATAAATATGAACTCGGTTACTTCAGCAGCGGAAGCGAACACAGCGCTCACGCCGATTATGATGTCACTTCTCCTAGTTTTTCCGATCTCGTTTTCGGTTATCCTGAAAACAATGGCCAAAACGAGTCACCTGAAAATGATTCAGATTCTGAGACCGACGTATCAATGTATGAATCAACTGACACGATTGAAGATACTCCGAAGCCTATTTTCCAAAGCGATCTCGATTCGTACCGTAATGTATTGGCGTCTTGCGTTGCTAAGGCATGGGAAGTGTTTTCATGTGCAAAATCGAATAAATCGATACTCCAGAGGAATGTAATGGCATATTTGAGAAATTTTGGTTACAATGCGGCGGTTTGCAAGATGAAATGGGAAAGCTCCGGTGGACTTGCAGCCGGAAATTACGAGTTTATTGACATTCTCAGATTAGATTCCGCCAATCGGATCGTTACTCGTTACTTCGTCGATCTCGATTTCGCAGCTGAGTTTGAAATCGCGAGGCCGACGAATCAGTATGAAAAATTACAACAGTCATTGCCGAAGGTTTTTGTTGGCAAAAGTGAAGAATTAAAGCAGATATTGAGAGTAATGAGCGACGCCGCGAGACGGTCGTTGAAAAGCAGAGGCCTTCACATTCCTCCGTGGAGAAAACACCGGTTTATGCAGAACAAGTGGCTCGGTTCGTACAAACGGACAACTAATATCATGCCGTCGGCGAACTCGACGGCGTGGCTATCACCGTCAAAGGATACGAATGGAGTAAAGTGCAGAACCGTCGGGTTTCACGCTGCCGCCGTGAACGGCGGTCTGTTGTTTCCCGCGACAACCTGTACAAGATGAGATAGCAGCAATTAATCAATTTTTTGAATGACGTAATTAATAGTATCGCTTATTGTCTGTTTCATTTCTCATATTTACTTATTATTTGATTAGACACGGAAATTTTATTAAGAAGATTATTTGATTTGTACTTTGTACTTTATACTGACAGTGTTCTGAATGAAAATGTAAAACCACTAACTGAAAAATCATTCGATAAGAATTATTTACAAGTTTAAATTCAATAGTTTGATGAATAAATTGTTTCAATTATTAACATTAATTAAATCTCCTGAGTGATAAACCAAGAATATTTATATATTGACATTATTCTGATTAACCCCTTAATTTACAAGAACAAGGACTGTGATTTTGCATCGAGCATGTTTTTAATAATGATATATTGGCAGTATTCTGAGCAGCTTTTTAATTTGAATTTTCATTTTGAAGAAGTAGAAGCGGTATAATTGCCAAATTGGTACATGAACAACGGCATGTTTTGGAGAAAATCTACTCCATCCATTTCAATTTAAATGACATAATTTGGCTTATCGAGAGTAAAATTGTATGAGTTTTGATCAAAATTTTAAAATATTTTTTTTATCATATTGACATGAAAAAAATTATAATTATAGTACCTTTCATATAGTTTTTGAATATCTAAATTTAAATTTTAAAATAATGAGTTGAACTAATCCAATTTAGCTTCAAAATTTAGTTAAATTAACCCTCGATAAACGAAATGTATCATCTAAATTAAAACAAATGAAGTATATTACTCATGTAGTCATGTAGCTTACATTTTAAACCTTCATGTTAGAAGTGAATCTATTACTTAATAATCAGAATATTAAGAGTCATCATTTTATGTCTATCAAATTAGGATAAATTAATATTAGTGTGATTGTTATCCACAATATGTACGCGACAAATGCACATTGCGATTTGTGTGCATTGTCTAGCTAAGGTTTCACGTGCCATTAGATATGGGAAAGTAGGAGTTTTAAGATTTTTAATTCAGTGGTCAGAGCAGCTTCATTGACACTTGACAACATGGAAAATCCAGTTTCATAATCGGGCGGCTGATCACATTTCACAAACAAATAATATATCCACGGGTTGACAAGGCAAGTATTTGTTAGAGCATTTTTTATTTTAGAAAAAACGCACTTGTTTTTCATTCTTTTATAGGAATTTCTTAAGTAATCTATAATGTCTTGGACCACTCCACTGGTTACTTTTTAAGGCTTTGGGTTGGACGCTCATATTATTTCACGTTTATATGGCAGCCTAAGTTCCTCCAACCTTAACTCAGAAAAATCTGAATTAATCTGGTCAACAAATTTGAACATTGAATGATAAAAAAAAGCTAGAAAAACAGAGAAGACTGTGGACATGTGGTGAATAACAGTATTTAACGAGACTGAGCTGGAGGAAATATTTAAATCCCAAATAGGGAATGAAAAAAATGGAGTTGAATGGATAACGTATTTTTTAAAGAGATCCGATAAGGCTATATATCTTATTTAATTAGTTTTGGCCTTTCAAGAGTAGTTGGCTCTTTCGTTGGCTTCCTGCTTGAGTTTAGGGTATTTCCAGAAGCTCAAAGTGCCCTTAGTAAAGTTAGATAGCCCCTCTTTTGAGGATTGGGTTACAGTTACACCAAAGGGTCAAAATTCAGTGACTTTATGACGCTTTAAGTTTTGATTCTTACAAGTGGCAGTTTCCTATTTGAGTAAAAAACTTGATTGATATGCTGTATTGGTTGATTTGGTTCTGTTCAAAGATATAAATATTGTTTATTTATTTATTTAATTATTGGTGGTATTTAATACACGGAAAAGGTTTGTGATATGGCTATTTCCTTGCATGTGGCAAAAGTAGAATAAAAGTGTCATTTGTCTTTTTGTTGCGCTTCATTTTTAAAAGTTTTTCTTCTGCTTTTTTGGTGGCATCAGCTATGCTTACAGATCAAAATTTGCTTTTCTGTTTAATCAAAGTGAAAGGGTTACAAGACATGTTGTTTGAAATTATACTCCGTCTTTCCCCAGAAAGAAGTCCAAAGACTAGAGTTTCAGAGAATTCACCGATTAAATTACCAATAAGTACATGCAAAATGACCGAATTGGTTGGACGGATTATGTTTTCATGGACTAAATTTGACACCCCTAATATCTATCGACGTATACTTCGTAGATGGAGCTAGCAGTTGTTTTCAGAGTAAATTGTAATCAGTAGAATATAGTAGTAAATGCGAAATTGGGGGGTCTACTGTTGAAGTTGAGTTAATAAACAACAACTGATTCCACGAATACCTGATACCGCTAGTATCTCTATCAACCGAAGATTGGACAGATGAGAAGAAATCACCTAATATTTTTACCTCTATTGGGATTTCAACATGAGACCTTATAGTGCTCCACCGATAGGCCACACCGTTGGGTGCATAGAAAAAATCCAATTAAGAGAAGCCAGTTCAAGTTTGTCAACCTCTTCACACAACAGCAGACATTGTATATCAAAAACTATTGTTTCATTTGATCAACAGTGTAACTGTAACATCTCACAAAAAGATGGTGATGTTTTGCCAGAGGCGGATCCAGGATTCGAAGGTTGCGCGTGCCACCATGTTATGCATACAATATACATGCCACTAGCTAAAAAGATAAATTAGGAATAATGGTCGGTTCAGTTAGTTTTTGATTAATTTGAATAGGCCTTTCATTCACAAAGTAAATAAGTTCGATTTTAGTTCAAATTTTTAACTCTTAATTTAAACACATTCTAAATAAAAATACAAAAAAAAAATAACATTTCATAAAAGAGCGGCTCCAATATAAATACTTGCTTAAAGAGAGTACCTTAACTACACTATATTCTTTGTTTGACTAGATTAGTTTACTTGTATTGTTCTTTGTTTATTTTTCCATCTTAATTGTTGAGTTATATGACAATTATTTTCAAAGAAAAACCTTCAACATTCAACCTATGATATTCAACTAAGGGTGGCAAGTGGGCCGGTCAAGGCCCGGGAGCGGCCCGGGACCGCGGGACAAATGGACCAGGACCGTTTAGCCCGGTTTTAGTGGGCCAGAGCCGGTCTTGTGGGCTGGTTCTATGATTTGGGCCCGCCAGGCCCGGGACCATTTAGCCCGCCAGGGCCCGGGACCGGACCGGTCCCTTAGCGGGCCAAACGGTCCCAAGGGCTATTTTCTTTTAAAAAAAAATATAGCCGTTGGGCTGTCAAAAATAGCCGTTGGCTATTTATAAAATAGCCATT